GAAATGCGAAAGAATTCATCTCGGTCGTTCCAATAGCTGGGAGGCGTATCCCATGATCCAATTTGACGAAGAACCCTTAATAATTGAAACCGAATGTGAAAAAGATCTGAGGAGGTATATTGACAAAGAGCTGAAGTTTTCTGACCTTTGTGAGAAGAGTTAATCAGTCAAATAAATTGGTAGGATTTCTACGAAGGTCGTTTACATACCTTTTTGGGTCTGCCCCTAATGCAGCTCATCAAAAGTGAAATGCTTTCCTATTTGGAGTACTGTCATCCCATATGGTCCCTGAGATATGGCAGCGACTGTCATTTGATTGAAAACGTCCGAAAGAGGGCCACCAGACTGGTGCCTGCACTCCAGCACTTCGGGTTCCATGAGCGATTAGAACGCTTGCAGTTGCCTTGCTTTAGACGTGCAAAGGTGATTTAATTGAAGTTAATAAGCACCTGAGAGTACAGAGTCGTTTGAGTTGAGTGCTTATATCTGGAGCTAGCAGGTCACCCGCCTAATCAGTAAAAACAACTACATGTGCAGAAAAGCGTAGAGCTAACTTTTTTGGAGTGGGTGTAGTGAACTCTTGGAATAAACTGCCAGAGAGTGATGTGAAGGCACCGAGTGTGAACTCATTTATGACCAGACATGAAAAATACTGGGGTAGTTTCAGATACATTCTGGAGCCAGTAAATGCTCAGTATTTGTCAACAGTGTATAACAGAGACATGGCCGACCGCCAAACTGGCTAGAGTGCCGACCAGTGGTGAAGAGGAAATGTTTAGTAGTATACTGAATGAAACTATTTAAAATATTAGCTCATTTTGTCTCAGACTTGGACCGTTTTTCCTTAGGTTCATATTGAGTTAACGTTAATACACTCACCTGGATGATAAGGTAGGGGGCCCTCGTCTTAGCCCTGATGATCCCTGGGGTGTAGAGGGCCCTGTGTTGCACCAAGGCGGGGCCCCACATATCCCGTGGGACCAACAACCTCTTGAGTGACTGTACAAAATGTAAAAAAAAAAAAAACCTATGATACAAAATAAACCGCTTCACTACACATTAATGCTATGCAACAAGTTACTTTAAGACAGTGTCAAGCTTTGGTAACAAACAACATTAAATTGGTTTATATCTACAAGTTTCATACCAGCTGGATTCGGTAAAATGCTACTGACATCCACATAAGCAGCAAGGGCAGTTCCCAATGGGAGGTTCACGGCGCCATCAGCTCGATGAACAGGCTTTGTGTGAAATATAACATAGTCTAGAACTGCTTTTAGTGCTCTTGTGGCATGGTCGGTAACGTTTCCTGGTCCCACACAGTAGGTCGAGGGTTCGAGTCCTGGCTGGTGAGGTCGTTGATTATATACTCAAAGTCCGTGTGTTATATGGACTATAAAAGCATATATATATATATATATATATATATATATATTTATTTATTTATTTATATACAGTGCTATTAAGGTTTAGCTTTAAGTAATAAATCTGAGCCTTATAAGAACCTGGTGGAGATAATGAACATTATAGTGTTTACCCTGCTTATTGGTGTGACCAATAGTAGCAGGGGTTTGTTTCTCTATGCCTCACCTTAGCTTCGTCTTTATTCAAGACATCTTCATAGGCAACTGACTTTACAGGGACTGAGACAGGCTTATATACGAAGGGTGACCTTGCATAACACCAGGACAGGTCAATAATATGAGATCCACTTATCCATATACCACCTACACCGCACGTGAAATAAGAGCTTATACAAATGGGCGACGTAACAAGTCAAGTCAGGTCAGGTCAAAAACATGAGACCCACTAATCATCTACCTCAAATGCTTTCAAAGCATTTTTAACCTTGGGCCACTGACAAATAAGTTTATGTAACATTATCAGTTTTGTACTGACCATCACTAAGGTTTATAGAATTCATTTCCCTAATTAGACTTGCTTCAACCAGAAATCTTTCTGTGACACATGTTGATTTAAACACTTCCAAGAGATGATTATTGTTCCTTATTTGAACGAAAAGTGAACTGCTTTCAGATGCTGTTCTAATATTATACTTGTGCTGTTTTATTCTAAGTTGCAAATGCTTTCCCAGTCTGACCTACATAATTTCCTTTACAATTACTACATGGAATGCAGTAAACACTTCTATTTACATTCAAGGTTGGGCTATTCTTAATTAACATATTAGTAATAGTTGAGTCTTACTTAAAAACCACATTAATGTTAAGAAATTTAAGGGATTGAACTAACGGGACAAATTCATTGCGATAAGGTATAGTAAAAATATTCTTAAATGCAGGAATTTGTCTAGTTTGAGTACAATAAAAGGATTTTGGGACAAGCTTAATGATTTTTAATGATCTTGTCCCTCGTATTACCATCAAAATTGAAAGAGAAATAAATGGATCCTTTCCATTTCTTGATATGCTTATCATGAGAAATGGTCATAACTATAAATTTAAGGTGTACAGAAAGCCTACACAGGTGGACAGTTTCATACATTTTTTATCGAGTCGCCTTGAGTCTACCAAAATTAAATTTTTTTCTGATATGTTTTTGAGATGTTTGCGAATTTGTGACCCTGAATTCATTGAAGAACTGCGACACATGCAGTTCATTGCTCAAAAACTTGGCTACCCTTCACTGTTTGTTCATCCCTTTATTGTACTCATACTAGACAAGTTCCAACATTTAAGGATATTTTGATTCTATCTAATAGCAAGGAATTTGTCCCTTTAGCTCAATCCCTTAAATTACTAAACATTATGTAGTAAATGAAGTATTTTGTGTGTGTGTGTATGATAATAATAATAATAATAATAATAATAATAATAATTAACGGTTTGTTGAATGAGCATAGCAGCGGGAGGCTGAAAATATACAGTTACATAACTGGGTAATGGGTCACTGACTGATATATATATATATATATATATATATATATATATATATATATATATATATATATATATATATATATATATATATATATATATATATATATATATATATATATATATATATATATATATATATATATATATATATATATATATATATATATATATATATATATATATATATATATATTTTTTTTTTTTTTTTTTTACGAGAGTTAGCCCACCGGGGCACAGGTCAAACGACCCACAACGGGACCTGGGGGCGAAAAAATAAGAACAGAAAATATTTGAAACTAGAGAAGAAAAGGATTATACTGTGTTAATCTACACCACGAAGATGCCGCAAACCAACTTTTTAAAGTAAGACAGATTGTATAAGTATGAAAACACAGAAGAAGCCAGAGCATTCCACAGTTTGGCTGTGTGAGGAAAGAAGGTTATAACCGGTTATTCTCGTGAGACCGACATCCACAGAGAAAGGGTGGGCACCGCGGGCAAGACGTGTGTTGCGATCCCACTGCCTTGCCGGCGGTACACAGGATGCCAAATCCACCGAACATTGCCCGTTAAAGTACCTGTAAAAGAGAGAGAGTGAAGCAACATTGCGGCGAAGACATAGGGAAGAGAAATTGTCGACTAAAGAAGGAGAGTTAATAAGACGAAATGCCTTTGATTCCACCCTATCTAACAGTTGGACAGAAGAAGAGCCATCCCAGATATGAGAGCAGTACTCCAAGTTAGGACGAATGAATCCCTTATATACTTGGAGCAACTGCTCAGGAGTGAAGCGGCTACGACATCTGTACAGCATTCCCAGCTTTCGGGAGGCAGCTTTAGCTATATTAAGGATGTGTGATTTCCAGGACACATTTATTTCAGAATTTGGCAGAATGATAGCGTCCTGAAATGTAATTGGTGGGAGATCATCTAATTTAGAAAGTGTAATTGGTAAATACTGAGTTTTATTACTATTGAATTTAACCAAGTTTGTACCTCCCCATTCAGAGATGCTGCACAGATCCGCATTGATAGAAGTAATGATATCAGCTCTAGAAACAGATCAAGTTTGAGATTTAGAAGGAAGGGCAAAATGTGAAGAGTGAAGAATAGAATCATCAGAGTAAGAATGGATAGAATTAGTTGTAGTGTGAAGTAAATCATTGATAAAAAGAAGGAAGAGAGTAGATAAAAGAACAGAACACTGTGGGACACCACTATTGGTAGAGAAACAGCGAGAGATCGATCCCTCGACAACAACTGCCCTGGATCGGTTCTCAAGGAAGCTAGAGATTAGAAAAAAAAGTGGGGGAGAGAAACCAAAAGAGGGAAGTTTAGAAAGCAAAGACTTACGCCATACCCTGGCAAATGCTTTAGAGATGTCGAGGGCCATGCCGAAAGTTTCCCCATAATCCCTAAGAGATGATGACCAAAGATGGGTGCAATAGGAGAACAGATCACCAGCACATCTCGCCTGGCGAAAGCCATACTGGTGATCCGACAAAAGAAAATGGCGTAACATAAATATCATAAGTAACATAAGCGATCAAATATGATATATAATAAAAAGGTAGGGCGAAGGTCATCTGCAGGGTATTTTAGCATAATAACAGTGCACAAAGCTAACATTGGCTGGGAGTGAACACAGTGGTTCATTACGAGTTGTTAATAATTTTTCAATGATTGGGACTTGGTTGTTCTTATAGTGATCAGTACATGCTCGTATGGGCTGGAAGCGGTTGTGGTATCGAATAGCAATTCGCGGACGAAGATAGTGCAAAAGATTCTCACCATGGGTGGCAACCCTGGTTGGTTCTCTCGAAAGGGCAGTTCCAAAGATGTCGAGGTCTTTAAACTTCCAGGGGAACATATGAGCACGGGAATCGAGGAGACTGCCGTGGAAGCGGGTCAACAAATTGGAAGGTTACAGAGAAATAGTCCTCGGAATGCTGACAAAACTAAATTAGGCAGGGAGTTAAAACCTAAATACGAGAAAGGGAGGACTCAGATCACAGCTAACTTAAATGTCTACTACGCAAACTGTAGAAGTATGAGAAACAAACTGGATGAAATCAGGGAGTTGGTATGTACCGAAAAAATCGATATAATAGCATTCACCGAAACATGGATAAACTTAGAACCACGTGAGTTACCTGTCGAATACCAAATTGCAGGTTACAAATTATTCCATACCGATAGGCAGAGTAGGAAAGAAGGCAGAGTAGCAATCTATGTCATGGATAATCTGAAGTGTGAAATAAATAAGGAAATAAAAACAACTGAATACAGAAAAATTTGGGATAGAATTAAAAAATGGTAGGGAAAAATTAATCACAGGGGAAATATATAGACCTCCCAATCTTGATAGAGTTAACGAGCGACTTATTTGGGATGATATACACAGGGCATCTAGACATAGCAAAGTCTGTACAGTTGGTGACTTTAACTTTAGTCAAATAGATTGGATCGACCTTACTGGTAACTCTGAATCAGAGGATTTTCTTGAAATAGTTCAGGACTGTTTCCTAAGTCAACATATAGCTGAACCCACCCGGGCTAATAATATACTCGATTTAGTTCTGTCAAACAGAGAAAACCTCATTACTAATGTCGAGGAAGGGAAGGAATTTGCTAACAGCGATCACAAAGAAGTAAGATTCAAATTAGAATTTAATGGTAAATGCAAGGAAAATTCCACTAATGTCCCAGATTTCAGAAGACCTTTGTTAGTTTGAAAAGGCAGCTGAGAGAAGGGGTATCACGTTTGGGATGGATTACATGACCTAATGTGAGGTGTTGACATCAACATAAGTAAATTTGCTGATGACAGCAACGGGATATCAAATGAACAACAATGTTATTGTAAGGGCGGAAACCATCTTCCTGCTGGTTACCGCTGCTAACTCGCTCGTTTGCTGGTGCGGACGACACTTGGGGTGGTTGGACAGAGGTGAGAACGGCAGGGTCTATCTGGGTCACGGGCAGATTCAACCCAGCCGCCATACAGTCACTATCTAGCTACCCCGCTGTTCGTCAAATTCTGGCTGTGATCTCAACGTAGGTCCTGGACTTGTGGGCTGTGTCCCCAGACCTTCACCT